CTTGTGCATGCAATATACAAATTTTATTACTACATCATGTTATGCACATGCCAGTTACTCGTTACACTTCAAGATGTTATGCAACCTTCAAGTTGACTCTCATTCAGATTTACCTCATATGGCTTTATGGTAGCTCATCATGGCTCTAAAAGACTAGAATTCTCCCTCATACTAGTGTTCCAAAGACACTTTCACACAAACTCTTTATACATCACTCAATTTACACTAACTCAAACACATGTCGATGCTCCAAGATAATGAAAAACCTCACTCCCTCATTCATGAAACAAGTACTCACAAATTTCCAAATTTGCCATAGAGGCATTACTCTACATCTCTATTTATACTTTTTGATAAATTATCATGGTAACATGTGGTAATTTTTTCTAATTTACTATTATCTTAGGTAGTTTTGACTAACCCACTATACGTGACAACATGCCATTGGCCTACCTAAACCTTCTAGAAGTTTCTGAAATCTAAGGTTGAAGTGACGACATGCCATTAGAAGTTTTAAAACTTCTAGAAGTTTCCTATCCACTCATTCAACATTAGACTTAGTCTAGCCAATCATATTTCATATATTTAATCAAACCAATCAAATCCAAACTTATAGTCAAAAGTCTAATCTCATTGGAATCTAAACCTTTGTAAAAGACAAAATATAAATGTTTAATACAATCTTCTAGAACTTTGCTAATTATTAGCCAAATATAAACATTATAGCTAAACTTAGTCATAACAAGATAAACTTAGTTATAACTAGCTATGTCTTGGCTAATCATCATAATCACTTGGGTAATTCTACAACTTAGTACACGTGTGCAACATCTAGTCTCACAGTTCATAGATCGACGCAAAACAACATTGCAATATTGGCTAGTTTATGATAACTCTTGGAAAGATTTACATAAATTGCAATCCAAATTTTTAGCATTATACCGTCAAGCGCATCTTCAAAATATGATTTCTTCACAACCAAATTTGTTCATTGAAAACTGAGCAATAGTTTATTACTTGAAAAAGTTAAAAATTTGACATTTATTAAGACAAACTATAAGATTTTATTAGAAAACATCAATAGCACAAAATTATTTGATTTTGACGGAATTTCTTGATTTGATAGTGAAATTGATTATGAATTCCTAGAAGAAATTTGATTTCAATTGTTTACATTTAACTGTTTGCAATTATGTAAGATATAAGATAAGTGAATCAAAATCTCAGTTAATATGATGAGAAAATTTTTGATACACAAATTTTTTGATATTTTCTATTTAAATTTGAATCAAATTTAAATTCAATCTAGATTTTTCATGTACACATATGTTTTATTTTTAGTATCTTTGTAGTATTAGAGGTCATCATTGTCAAAGAGTATGTAGTTGAGAAAACTTAAAGAACGTTTCGTTCTTGGAGTTGAGTCTTACATGAAAGGGTTTACGTTGAGTAGCTTCCTGTACCATAAGCTTCGACCCGGACTCTCCAACGAGTGCAAAGGGTAGAAGCACGTGCACTTGGATGTGTACGTCAACGACATAATTGTCATTGATGCTGATCAAGGTGTGGTTGGCGCATTCAAGGAAAAGATGAAACGCTCATTCAAAATGAACAATTTTGTGTGCTTGAGCTATTACTTAAGCATCGAGGTCAAACAACAACTGGGGCGAATCACGCTGTCACATACGGCGTATGTAGCCAAGGTATTTAAAAAGGCCGGTATGACCGACTGCAACATCGTCAAAGTTCTGATGAAAAATCGCCTTTAGGTGAGTAAGCAAAGCACAACTTCTCATGTTGATGCATCTTACTATCGTAACATTGTGGAAAGTCTGAAGTATCTGGTTCATACTAGACCGGACATTGGTTTTGCGGTCGGGTATGTGGACCGATTCATGGAGAATCCAACGACAGAGCATCTCAGCGATGTCAAGCACATTTTTTGGTACATAGCAGACACGTTGCACTACGGATTGAGCTACAAAAAGGGCCTAGATGAGATCAAGTTCAATGGTTGCAGTGACGCAGACATGGCTGGAAATGTGGATGACTTCAATAGCACAACATGTGTTTTATTCTATTTTGAGAACATAGCATGTCATTTTGAGAAGTAGCCAATGGTGACGCTGTCATCGTGCGAGGCAAAATATTTTGTAGGCTCAACAGCTTTGGTTTGGGAGTATGCTTGTGAGCTTCTACAAAAAGGTAGCGAGCGTCGTCATCATCATCATCGAAAATCATTGAACCATCCAATTGTGCAAGAATCTGTTGTTTCAAGGTCGGAGTAAGCACATCAAGATGCAGTTCCACTTCATTAGAGAGTGCGTCGAGGACGGCAAAGTCATTGTCTAGAAGATTCACACTTATGATCACCTGATGGACATTGTTATCAAATCTCTTGACCGGATCAGATTTCTGCACTTGCGCTCAAAGATCTACGTCCTCAACATACTCAACAACTAGATTACGAGGAGCAATGTTAGATAATCTAGCTTGTTTACTTGTTTGAGTTTAATCTTCCATACTAAGCGGGTATGCACAAGCTGCTAGAGTAGTGCCAGGTTCTCTCGCTCTCATCGCGCTTCGTCGTGAGGTGGAGAGAGTCTGTGTGGCGTTCATGCAGGATTGCGTCCGAGTCCTTAGTATTATGCAAGACTTGTACATGATCATGGAATGACATGATCAGTAGTGCGTGCGTGTAGTGCACTTAGGAAGAAGTTAGATAGTGTATTTGGTTTTTGAATATATGCTTAATACATAAGAAAAGGCTGTCGGTTTTACGGAGCACAAAAATCACTTTGTGTTCCGAGAGTTCGCGTGTGTTCTGTTGATCTTTTTCAACAGGTTGCAGCAGGCCGTGCCGGCTAACGATAAGTTCAAAACATGTTTGAGTATGACATGTTCTTGAGATGCAAAAAATTTGTATAATCATCGGTGCATGAAATCATGGTGCAACACACACACACTCAACAATTGCTCTTTCCAATGAAAATCAAGATGAGAAGCTAGCTATTGCAGGAGGTAACGAGAGTGATGTAAAAGATACCAAGGATAACGAAAACGTGTCGACTTCAAGAACTGAAATGTGCTGTACATAATTTTCGTCGATTCGTCTTCATGATCAGATAAGTTCCAAATTATACAATTATGATGTGTTAAACATCCGAGAAATTCAAGTTGTGAGATACAGTGTATTCGACGATGTTTTACGTCTTAGTATCGGGAAATTTCAAGACGTTTGTAAACTGATATTCAAAGCTCTTAACTTTTCCCAATTTTTGGTAAAACTAGAGACCAGTTCTATGGAGTACTTGACATACTCGGCTGCACAGCTCCAAGTACCATAATCCCAACAAGAAGCGTAGAATGATCAAGCAGAGACAAACAAGAAGATCACAAAACTGTAGCAGAGACTACCCTTGATAGCAGTATCACGGATTCAAACATGCTTGGACAACTTGATGCTTTCTGTTGAGAATTTTCTTCAAACATCGAACACGTCTTTCACGCACCTTGATATAAAACTCGAAGTAACGGAGTATTCGTCTGACCAAGCCGATGAGAGATGATCTGGGCAACATCAAGTTTTGACTGAGAGGATAAAGAGCGTGGGAGGAAAAACATCCTCCGGGCGTGGTACATTGGAAGTTGCGAACTGCTTTGATGTATGTAGACGTAAAGTCGCATAATTATGTCATACAATATCGAATGTAGTCGTGCATAACCGATACTCTGCTACGCATGTACAATCACAATTACTATTGGTCAAAATAGTGATCTAGTGGACTCTACAGATTCACAACAAGGAAACCTATAGTGTAAACAACTCTGTGCATCGCTCAAATCCCGTACAGTGAGGACCATTGAAGAGTTGGATCACAAACCTGAAGTGCTGTAGATTTTGAGTGTAACATAGCAACGTACGCAACCGACGTTTATGTTTGCAGTAAATTCAGTTGATAACCTGCAGATTGAAACCGTGGTTAAAGTTGAGTTTTCAAAGATTTTTCAAATAACCAAATTTTTTTTAAAGAAAAATTGGGGTTTTTCCACCCTAGTGCAGACCCGGTGCTAGAAAGCAGGGGTTATGAGCAACAAGTTTAAATTTACATGCAGCATGAAAAAATGATCATCACTAGATTGTTCAGACTTTAGAACTTTCAAGAAACAATGAAAGTCTTCGAATATGGAAGCACTATAACGATAAATAATTATATTTAAATCACATGAACATACATACGTACACAATATGAGGTGTATTTTCTAATTAAGGTCCATCGGATGAGAAGAAGGAAACCTTAAAAGTTTAAACTCTTATAGATTTTTATGGTAGAAGGTGCACTTCAAATTGTATAAATGACCAAGGAGAAGTCTAATAAGTTACAAGTACAAAGAAAGTGAAGAAATTCGGAGGAGTTTGGGCTCGTGTCCAGCACGGGCTCAAATTGGCCTGTGTCTACCACAAGCGCATATTGAGATGCAAAGGCTCCAAACGTCGGAACTCGTCGTCCTACTGGTGGAAACGAAGCCAAATGAATCACACAAATGGAAAGCGAACAATGTAAACCGAAGCCCCACGTGCTAACCACGGGACTCGACCAGGGTTACTGTCACGCGACAGCAGACGAAACAACACCACCTTCTGTACAAGAACGAACTCGACACAGAACCACGGAAGTGACAGCGACCGAGTTCTTCAACGAAATGGAGCAGATGAGGCGAGGGACCAATCCCGAACAAAGTGACACTACACAAATGTCGGATCCTCTATCACTGGAATTGGAGCGGATCAGATCTCAGCCGTCCAGTTCCCGGATAGCTCCATCCATCTCGACGGGGAGCGATCGGCGGCGCCAATCCACGCTCGGCGTGCCGGATAGTCCCCTTATCCTTTCTTACCGGCAAGTGACCGGCTATGCCCCGGCGCCAAGCTCCCCGGCCCTGCTTCCGGGTTCAGCCATAAGACTCCCTTTTCCTTCGAGGAACGAACTCACGCTGACAGTTTGCCTTCTGACGTTCCTTAAGTCCCAAGAGACATCGATAGATTCAGTGCTCGCACAGAACAATTTTTTTTTTTCCCTCTGTTCGAATCTATCGTCGCGAATTGCAGAGATGGCCACCGCTATGCTCGGATCCACCGCAATCGCCACCCCCGCTGCCTTGGCAGTCCGGGACCTGAAGGTTGCCGTGAACGGACAGAGCTCCGTCTCGTGCGTCGCCAAGAAGAGCTTCGTCGTCAGCGCCAGCTCCAATGTCGAGGAGACCAGCAGCCGAAGGGACATCATGAAGATGGCCGCTGCCATGTTCGCCGTCGGTGCTTTCTCCGGTGTCGGTTCCGCCAAGGCTTCCCTCACCTCCGACTTGCTCGCCAAGTCGACTGCCAACAAGGTCAGCTTCTGATTCTTTTGTAAACCTTTGCATTTTCCCATTGGACATCTTCCGTTCTTTCTTTTTCACTTTCTCTATAGACGATAAATATGTCTGAGGCCTTGAGGGATTTCTTCTTCTTTTGAGGTCGTGATCACTAGGGACGTCATAGAGTGGTTGTGATGGGCGTTTGATAATGGGAGACAATCTGAAGTGGATCGCTTTGTATGAGCTCAGGAATTGAACGACGCCAAGAGACTTGCCACCAGCGGTGCTAACCTTGCCCGATCAAGGACCGTCGCTGACGGTACCTGCTTGTTCCCCAACAACTTCACCGGATGTGAAGATCTCGCCAAGAAGCAGGTAAGATCGTAGCTTTTATGTGTTTTCAGCCACATCTTCGTATGGAAGTCTGGATCAAATCCTTCTAGTACAATGTCGTGCTGTGCAGTGATCTTCAGCTGAGTTTGTTCCGTCAGTCACTCGCTTTGGCTTCGAGTATGTGCTAAGGTAGTGTATGGTATGCATCGCAGGAAGTCAAGTTCTTGACGGAGGACAAGCAGCTCGAATGCCAGGGTAAGGAGGCCTACAAATGCGCTTCCAACAGCCACTACACTGGACCCAAGTGAAGGCTTTTAGGTTCCTCTCTGTACATCGGACTTAGACCAACATTAGCGTTGTACCATTGCAATGTGCATACTTTGTACTTTAATTTGACGACTTCGAAGTGCTCGAACGTAATCTGGTGAAAAACTCACGAGTACAAAACTCACTCATGTTCCATGCCGTGCGCGTGTATTTCGCTGATATTGGATTCCTTTCACTACAGCTGATTCCTGCTAGTATCGTTGGTCTGTGAGCTGTTTGGTTTCATGGTGAATTTATCTCCAAATTCTTTGTGAAAATTGTGCCTGTGTCAAAACGGAGTATGGCATTGCGACAACCAGCGCAAGCCTTCGTAAAGGAGCAAGCAGCAGCCCCGTTTGTGGCAAGAGGGCGCAGATCGGATGAACCCTGTTTCGAAGAGTTTTTGCATACATAAATAGGCTGACGTCTGGATACGGATGAAACGAAGAAGTAATTTTAGTTTAAGAGTTGTAGTGAAAAGCTTGATGTGAAAGAGGAACAACCAGAACATATTGTGCCGAATAAATACCAAATTGACTGGAAGAAAAGGAAATGTAATTATGAACGAACGCGCACTAACCATGTTAAAGAATGTGAAAATGAACTATCACCTATGCATTGTGTAAAAATCGAACAGTATCTCCACAATAAGAGGAAAGAACAAACTACAGGACAAAAGCATATAGATACGTAGTTATACAATATTGTTAACATACATAACCAAAATTTCTAGCAAGATTCTAGCAAATTTCTAGCATTCCTATCCTATTTTATATAGTTTTGCAAATAACAAGTGTACATAATTACCAAATATTAAGTACAAACTGATCTAATAACGTACAACGAAGAATGATCACAGATAAATGTGCAGCTCGAAGTAAACATCACCTTCCACTTTGACACTTGTTAGATGACACTTGCAACCGTCTGGGTGTGGCAAGTAGTCGATGCGTCTGTGTAGATGTCTGAGTGTCAACATTATTGTTTCCTACATCAGACCTATCCTTTGATAACACATCAAACTCTTTTAAGAAACAGAGTACAACATTCTTGACTAGCTGTGAGAAAGAAGAGAAAAAGCTTGGAATACTTCCTTTTGATTGAGCCGATCCAGCAAGTGTTCAAGTTCCTCAACAGCAGATATTGTGGATCAGCACTAACAGCAACGTGTGCGAGGGGGGAAGGAAATGAAAAAGAGCTAACGAAATCTGTACTTGACGCGACAAAAAGAAAAATTTAATTATAACATAAGTTGTTTCCGTGACAACTGCCACGGCGGGGTGAATTTAACGAGTCATGGATGAATTCAACGATCTCCATACTTAATCATGAAAGATCATGAACATGTTGAATACACATCTCCCCGTACTACGAAGAAGAAGTTAATCTACCCATGTTGGTAAATCGTCTCTTTCTCTCCTTACCCTCTGCACGAGGTACAACATTCAAACATCCTCTGATGCAACTTCCACTGTATTACTCACAATCCCACACGCACTCGAACAATCTCAAACCAGGGAAACACTAGATTCAGCCATTCACGGCAGAACAATCATAACTTTTTTGTCGAAAGAATTTAACGGTTTGTTGTTTGTGGGCCTTACGGCACACAAATCATCTCTATCCGACCGCTTCGATAGGTTGGAAAGATGCCCATTCGCGAAAGATAGCTGTACGCAAGCGAATATCATGTGGATAATATGGAATATCAAATAAGGAATCGGAGCGAATATCATGTGCTGGATTGGGGTGAATTGCTGAGAATGTATAAAGCGGAGCAAGGGACCACCAACTCCACTGATTAAGACCACAATGAGCAGCATTCGCTTGAGGAAGAGCTTTTGAGTAACCTCAAGGTGGAGGAACATCTGTAAACATCTGTGCTAAGAATGCAAAATTAAAGCCTTGGTTATTCTTTATTGGAAACAGCATATTTCCCCAATACAAGTTGAAGTTCCTACAACCTTCATTTCATACTGTCTCTGACTGATTGTTTAGATTTTTTGGCAAATAATTTCCACATCGATCTGTGTAAATTTAAGGAATAAAACCATCGTATATCATTTATGATTTACTTGCAGCCCAGACATAGTTTTCTCACGTTGATTAAAATAAAATTGAGCAAAGCTTTAGAATATCTCGATGCTGACTCTCCGAAAACCAACGATGGTTTTTCGGTAAGCAGACATACATTACCATGAAATTAAGGCCAAAATTTGCAGGTATTTATTGATGACTGTATTCTAATGAACTCTTCATTTCATCGTTCTTGCCTACTCACATTTCTTTCTCTAAGACGTAAGTGTTGAGAGCTTTCAGAGATGTAGACGGTGGCACGAAGCCCTTCATGCGGTCTCTATTCTCGCTCAAGCAGTTTCCTGTCGATTTTGTAGAAGTAACGAACTAATGTACTGTTGGAAATCGAAACATTAAGGTGTTTGTAGATTAGCCGGCCCTTTCTATCGGTCTTCCGCTGGACAGATTTGCGCTTCGTGCTGTTCCTTGCGGTCCGGTTCTGTAAACTTTGAGCGCTTTCCTCCTCCACTAGAATTATGAAGCTAAGTGTCAAAGCGCACGATTTTGAAGAAGTGAAATCATAGTGGTCTGCTTATCTTAGAAGCGTCTTTCCTGACTGTCATGAAAGACAGGGAGATACACGGAGTCGATTGAGTAACACATGAGGAAAAGAATTTATCGAGCTTATACGCTCAGAAGAAACGAGAGCCTGAACCCAGGAAACTTGAAACCTTGAAGCAAACGAGTAAAACAACATGCGAATTATTATTCACGGCCTTGTGACTGTGTATGAAGAGTTCGGTAGTTTGTGTGTCTGTCTTGTGGAGAATTTAGAGAAGTAGTGAGTGCCTCTGGTGAACCTATCCCGTCCACCATGTTTTCTGTCACTCACTCCGGTCCAACTGTACGTGCGACATCGGCACTCGGAATTGTCAAGAACCATTTGTCAGCTGTTTCGAGGGAGGGTCCCAATATTCGATCGCATGGATTCCTGTCGATAGCCTCGTACGGATGATCCATTCTCAAGAGGTGAGCGCGTTTCTTCAAATACACGATCTTCCGTTCCGAATCGCTCTGTGTTCTGTTATTTCTGAAATCGTGTTTACAGTATTCCACTCAGACACACTCGAAACGAGCCGAGCAGAGCTGAGATTTCCTCTCTCTGTGTTACATTGAAGGGCAACTTGCCATCTTTTCTATCAAATACACCCGTTTCTCATTTCCTCCAGCTTTTGGCTTCACAGGATGCGGGGGAATGGAAAGTCATGGTTCATACGACGTGACGGCAATCCATTTGAAATGTTTGCGCGTTTTAGAGTTCGATGCGCATACACAACAATCCTTGAATTGAGCACGTACAGAATGTACATCTCGTCGTTCTCAGAGAAAGTATAGTACACAATTTCGGGGGAATGGTGTAAACGGATGGGATGGAACGAAAATGATACGAGCAGGGGAGGAATCAGGGTTAGAAAAAGTCGGCGGAACGAGCATCGAGCGAGCATCGGAGCAGAGTTCCAGAATTCCAGGAAGATCATATCGATCCCTTTGGAATCTGAAGTTTGCGATGAGACAGAGATTTTCATACACCATCGGGTTATCGTAAACCACGACCGATGTCGACCCTGTCACACTTTGCACAGACCTATCGTAAAATGGCAGCAGCTACAATCAAACGAAGACATACACCGGAAGCGATGCACATATATATATATTCATCAGTTTGGATCTCGCACATAAATCAAAATATTCCACCTCTTCATGTTGGCCAAGGTGATATGCCGACAGGGACTTAATGTCAGCTCACCTGCTCAATACAAGAGTTGAGCCTGTTAGAAAAAGTCCTCCTTGTTTGGGATTTAGTGGACTGCGTAACGTGGGCATAAAGATTTGGGATATGAAGACCTTGACCTCTCTTGACGGAAGTAAACGAGATGCAGGACGACGGGTGTTGGGTGTGATCTGTGTGATCTGAACACTGCTGAAAGATCTTCGTGACATCAAGGATATGCCGCTCGATAAGATGATCAGCATGACGAGCCGCCATCATCTGATTCACGAAGTTTGCGCATATATGGCTTGTCAGAGCCAAAGTTTAGAGGCTGTGCATTGAGGATACGTATTCGTATACTTCGAACGCGTACGGATCCTAACCCGCATACAGATTGAGTGAGAGACATGAACAAAGTCATAAGTGATCTACATTGACTTTGCACAAAATGCACCTTCTCCATAAATATATTGAAATCGATCATTACTGTAGTTGTTTACACGGAACGTGGTGCCCTCAATATACAGAATCGTGCCTTTCATGTGTTTATATATTTTGATTTGTTTATGACATATTCCAAAATTTTCAAGTGCCATATTCTTCGAAAGGATTTTTGGGACTTGGTGTGCATTACTGCGTATAATTAGTCCATGATGTGGTACCATGTTGCTTTGTGGATGTAAATGAACTTGACCAATAGACACGCGAAAGTTTGTGTCAATGCTTATGATAAAGTAGAAAAAAAGTATCATGAACCTTGATATTTTTTTTGAAATATCTAAAGCTTGGAGGACCAATGGAAGCTTTATTTTGGGACAGCTACCACAGAAAAATGTTTCCCACATGGCAGTGTACCTAAGCACAGACCTTGCTACGTGCTCAGAAATACTTAACATCTAAAGTCTCCGTACAGTAGACATGGATGATTTTATTTGTTGCAGATGAATTGTTTTGGAAATGTTCATACTCTTATTCCTCCGCTAATAAAACAGGCCATTGTGTGGCAGAGGAATTTTCTCTGCAGTATGAAGGCGTGGGTACATTTTAGTGTATGGCCTTTGACCCTTTGGCATTGCTGCACCTGATATCGCACATGGATTTTCTTAGCTAAGTTTATTTCTATCAGTGATCAGTTAACATTCTTCTACCAGAAGTATAGACTGGTTACGTGAGACGAATACTTGATACATGATCATTTCAGCACCAGGAATCCAAGCCGGCTGTTTTGCATACAGCGAGTATTATATTCATCTTCTAAACAAGTCGTCCATTTCGTGGAAAGGGAACCGTATGGATCAAAAGAAAATCTTCATAACCAAATGAGACCTTAATAGATGAAAAAGAAGAAGAAGAAAAAACTATTGATGTCTGAATCTTGTATAGAAGCGCATAAAAGGCTGATGACAAGATTACGCATACACGGT